CGCCGAAACTTCCAAGTAGTGTATGACCTGAAACTATAGATAAGAAGCTAGTCGACGTTTTACGCTACAAATCGTGATTCGATATTTGTAGACTTGACAAATAAGTGTATGTAGCGTTTAGCTCAAAGAAATATATTAGTTCTTAGTTCTTCTAGGAGTACATAAAATACTGACAAAGAACTAACGGTCTGTGCAGATAAATCTTCGTAAATGAAATATTCTATTCGATATTCAAAGCAAAATTCGTCAGGTTTTATGCAAAATGATGGCTTATTTTTGCAGTTCTCGTGCTACGAAACATTTATATCAATATTGTCATGTGCACTAATCTTTGTAATAACATTATAAAATCGACGTTCATTTATATTTTGAATTATTACTCGTATTACGACAGGAAGATAATAATGCTCTTAGTTACTGATTTTTGTCGTAGTTATTGTTTATATGTATTTAAACTATATTTTAATTGCGATTATGTGTCGTTCTATATCTTGTAATTTTTGAAATATCTATTAGTTAGCAGTTTCTCTAGTAATACATTACAAAACTGACATGGAAGTCATAAAATAATGGTTGCGTATACAATTCAAATGTCGCTTTCATCACAAATAAATATGCATTCTATCAACAGTTATCATATATGTATAAGTAATATATAACCTATATATGCAAGTAGTACATAAATAAATACAATATATTCTTTGCTTATACAAACTATCTCAATACAGTAATATGCACTCTTTCGTAAATAATTTTGGCTTACCACCCCTCTACACTTTATTCTGAAGTCTAAGATAAATAATTTAATATTACGTAGTTCTTTCCTTTTTTCTAAAATAGAGCTACATTCTAATTAGTGACATATTAACAATAATTAGGTATGCTATTTTATCAAAATGTCTTCTCACTAAGCACTTCTGTCATAGAACACGTGTATAAGAAACGTCCAATTTCCTTACATGAGTAAATATTCAGTCTCAAACAATACATACGCAATAAATTCAATAACTGAAGCAACGAAAGTAAAAGAAATAGTAAACACAGGAATTACTAAACACTGTGTTTATTTCAAAGATTTTATGTAATGTGAACAAAATTACCTACTAGCATTCTAATTAAGAAAACAAGTTAAATTTAAACGTCATTCAGCGACGAGGGGTTTAGTCGTTTCTCGTACACAACGCTCTTACAAATGTTCACAAAGTTTCAACAATATCACTTCTATATTTACAAACTATTGTTCATAGAGCAACAGCAATCAGGCAAATGGGCACTTGTCACTCGCAAAGCTCTAAAACCCATCTGAATGGAATCAGATGGTTGACAACCCTCACTCCAAAACCACAAAGTCACACTAGGCAACTATCAGAGCAAGCATTAGGGTTATTTAGTTCATAGATACATGACTACTCAATGTCACAAAGGACATACAATCAACTTCCTGCCCATGGGCAAGAATGTACTTAAAAGAGAACAGATAAGTCACTACAGTTATTGCAGTTACATTGCCGGCATTTCACCGTGATAATGGCAACAGCAAACGCCATTGTAACAGTACGATAATAGACATAAAAATAATGTTCATACATTAATTATATTCATACATCTATTAAAAAGTAAAAACATTAGCATTTCAATCTTTGCATTTAAGTTTGTGTCATTCAAATTTGGCGTAATTTCCTTAAAGTTAGCTTTGAGATTCCTTATGTAATCTATTCACGCTCTCACACAAGTGAGTACGCCCAAAAATCCATACTTTAAAAGGTATTTTTCTATACCTACACGGGTAAACTTTCATCTAAAATTGATCTTGAACATTAACAATGCCGTAATTAACTTTAAACGCTGTATACATTCTATTCTCATACCTACAAAAACCAATTACATAACCCTGACGAGAACATCGAATTTGATATGCTTGGCTGTTCCCTAAAAATCACTCATTAAGGATTTTCCTTAAGCCTAACTTACAATGAGTCTGATTACGCTAGATTATATTTCAACTATTTTTGAAGCCGTAAGGGTATTAGGACCATATAACCTGAAGAAAATGTCGAGATCGTCTTTCTTGGAGAACCCTGCAGTAACTCCATTCTCGTTTTTCTATGATTCCAAAAACTTAAGAAAAAAAACTTATTTGTTACTGTTATTGTACATTGAATAAAAGAGCTAAAGCTAAAATAGAGACTTTTGGAGAAAGAAAAAAAACCTTTACAGACTACTTTCTTTAATCTTTCATTTCATCTCACAACGTCGTAAAACGGAAGAGTGGGCGGCACAAACTCCACCCACCTCATATCTGGATCGCTTTAATAATCTCATTTCCGCAGTATGTGAAGGACAATATGCTTGGAAACAAACGTTAGATCAGAAGTCTTTATATATATACACACACATCCATCCATCCATCCATCCATATATTTTGTGTATTTCAGTCACGAAGTAATGCCCAATTGAAAATGCAATATGGCATTGTTAAGACATTATTGAAACACATTTAGTTTTAATACAAATCTTTTGCTTAAGAAATTATTTCGCAGTGTACAATAAAAATACAACAATATTTGCGTTTATCTGACTCTTAATGAATCGTAATATTTATTTTTGTATCAATTAATTTTTCAGCCCATTTCCCTGTTGTATTTTAAAATAGTAAAGTACGAAGAAGAATCTAACTCTCAAAATTATCTAAGACAGGAGCATATCCGATTAATGTAATTTCTATATTTTATTTTTGTTCAATATTTTCAGTATAAATTTGTTTTGTACTTATATTACAAGTAGGTTGAAAGGCTGTCGATGAACGAAATTGAATTACACATGTTTCGTGTTTCGCCATTTAAATTTAGAATCATTAAACAAGGTGATTCAGAATAATTTTTACAAAAGGCCTAGGTCATGTAGGGGTCGCAGATGATTTTTCCCCTTGAAATACTATCGGAAATCACATATAACTAAATCACACATTGAGATATATCCGTGATTGATAGTCATCTGAGCGGACACTGAAGTTGAGCAGGTGATGTTTTGACGCATTCAATCAGGTTTTGTGTTCGTGCCAAACACTAATGCAATATGAACTGTCTGCCAATCGAAATCAAATGTCACATAGGTGACTTCGATATAATATGAGATTTTTTAACGACTGACTTGCACATTGACAAAAAGTGATCATCTTCGACCTTTCGCGTTCTAGAAATTCTTAACATTTGTTTTGAGACGTCTGTATATTGTGATATGTTAGTGCAAGATTATAAACTGTTATTAACTGACGAAAGCTTGATTATATTCCTGTAAAGTGTGTGTGTTTAGGAACGAAATGTGTGGTGTTCTGAAATGAAACTGGCCCCCTAAATGAAAACGAAGAGCGATTGGTTTTCGGCGAAGGGATCTGTCCGTCAGTGGGGGGCTTTCTGCAAGCGCGTGTGTTTGTGGTGGGGAGCGGGAGCGACGGGAAGTGGCGGGGAGTGGCGGGGCTGGGTTGCGCGCGCTGCCCTCGCCGGGCATCGATCCAGGGCGCGGCGCGGCGCGGAGGCGAGCGTTGCCACATGGCCTCGTTTATCATTTTGCGCAACCGTCGGCGCTGACGTTTCGTCATCACCTGCGCCCCCATTAAGGCCTGGCCGTCAAGGTAGCAACACGCGACGCGACACGTCGCTCCGCATAGCTACGCCCATAGCGTTGGGCACGGCCCACCTTATGGGGAGACCACCCTTCTGATGCAACCCTATTCCCATTCGGAAAGTAGCAGAAGTTACGCCTCTTCCGTCTGATCATACAAATTTCGACGTGCTCCTTTCATCATCTAGCGAACAAAGAAGGCATTACTCAGGCAACGAAACATATAATTTCAATTTAGCTCAGAGTTTTCTTTTGGACTTGAGGATCTTTTACATGCAGTAAACCTACACGGCCAGCTTTATTTCCTCTTCGAAGGAAGACTTAAAAAATATCCACGACTTTGAATCCGAGTACTCAACTTGTGTACAAGAACGAGATATTAACCGTTATATCTCCGAACCCGATACCATTTATACAATTGTTGCAAATTTACCATACATATCTAGAATATTACATATCTTAGAACTTTATTTTTAATGGTCTTTCTTATATATTCCTGTTAAATAGTTTGCCCTTGATAGTAGTAAAAAATATTCATATATATATATATATACATACCCGGCAAGTCTGGCTTGTTTTAATTGTGTTTGCATTGTGTTTTAGAGCTAATAGCACATTAATTTATGAAAACTATAATTAATGCGTTTTTAGTTAATGGGCTGTGGAATGAACGTGTGGATCTGGAATAACACGAATTTACTGGAGATTTGAATTTTTTTCGGTCTTAAAATGAGAATATCGTATAAATTGCATTACAAAACGTCTCGTTTTCATACTGTGTTTGTACTCATATGAAGCTTATATTATGTGGCGATTTGCTGTGTTTTAACAGATGTTACCGATGACTTCTTGATCTTTGAGATTTTTTTGTAATCTTAAATATTATATTGAGTTATATAATCGTTTATATACATGTAATCTAATGTGTAAAGATTAATATAGGTGAACATTACTTTACAAACAAAATTGTGAAGCTCCTAAGCCTTACATTCAAGCCTTAGACTTTCATTAAACTTCACTGCTGTTTGATAGCATTCACATAGAACGTTCCCCTCCCACGTTCACCTCGTCACCCATACGACTGATACACGAACAGCGTGTTTCATTATAATAACCTAATAACAGATTGCAAGTTAGATCTTTTACACGAACGTTTAGCTCGAGACTGCCATTACGTTTTATCATGAGGTAGTCTATTAGTAAGAGATGATAGACATATATGAGGAGAATTATTTATACATTAATTAAAATAAAGACTGATTTAATTAAAGGGATTGTTTTCTATGGTTTGTCGTTTTTAGTACATGCGCATATCAACTAATAATGCAATAACAGCTTAGAATACACATTAAATGATAATAAAATCTAAAACGAACCAGTTATATTCCTTCAATGTCAGACAAATTCAATAATTTCAATGCTCTTTTTATTATCATCTATTTAAATAAAACCGCATAAAAATAACTGTATTGATTCCTACACTTAAAAACCTCAGCATGAAATGTGATGACATGGTAACAAATTATGATGTCCCTTGTAAATGGATGGACAATTTTCAGTACTCAATACCACTCAGAGATTAAAATAATTCAATCCTCACATTTTGCTAATGAGTAAATACATAATTAATTCGTAGAACGTGTATATTAACATCCACGCCTTGGACCGATAGACAGATATTTCTATGGATTTCAGACGACCAATAAAATGTTATTTTCTATTAATAGTAAACCTTCAGCAACTCCAATAAGAGATACACACATTATTAATAAATAGGAAAGAAGTAAAAATAATGCACGTGTCACAAATGTTGAAGTAGTTTAATTTTTGGAAAAGAAATGAGCAAACTGACATTAAGAAATGAATTACAATTTGAAATGATTTACACTACACAATTTAAGGAAAGAATACAAATTGTATTGAAAATAATTATAGTATTCCGAACAATTGTTGTAGCATGTGAAACTCGGTAAAAGTCACTTACAAAATTATCTTGTGGTGGGCATTACTAAATGTTTGAAGTCGAAATATAAGCGACATTGAGAGGAAATAACAAGCGACATTGAGAGGAAATAACTAAATAATTTGTTCCTCTCACTTTTATATTGTTATATTGTGTGTAGAATAAAGGAAAAGTCTGAAAGCACTTTCTATAAGAAAATTTCACTGAATAGATGAAGTTTCGAATCTAAAATATTTCACTAGTAGCATATTACCTGGAAGGAACTAAATCTCGTCTGCCATCATCTGTCTCGTCTGACGTTGCAATATTCACTGTCTCGTTGAATAGAGAAAAGTAAAATCAGTTCTAATTTTGCAAGAAAAAGCAAAATATAAGAAAATATTAAAAAGGGAAAGCAAGAAAAAGTAGAGAGCTTAAATTCGTATTGTTAAAAGAATGAAAATCTTAACGATGATGAAAATGCATTTTGTCAAACGTTCGATCTCTACTCATACGTTTATCAGTAGGGATTCGTTTTATAACTATGATCATCTCAAATACAATTTTACATGCTCCTTGCACAAGTTGTCCAAGAAAGAAAACCTGCATCACATCGCTATTTAGAAGGCACTAACATACAGGGCTACGGCGACGAACCTCGTATGTATACAAGGGATAGAATAATGGCATTTTACATATATTAGCTAAACACACGATTGAAGATAGTAATTCATAAACTTCCGCAACTCTTATAAATTTTCTAAACACATTTTATCATATATACATGTATACGCATATGTACTATACATGAGTACATACATTCACATACATACATTTATATCTGAAGAGGATATATATTATTTCTGTGGTGAAGGCACTGATATGTATAAATTGTAATAGAGACATTTTGAAGGAAGATCTCGTATTGTCGCAACATGAGGCCAATCTGTGTGCAAGACGCACGCCCCGGAGGAAGGCTCGTCCTCTGGCGTCAATTCACAAACAGCCAAGCACATCTCTCGCAGGCGACCGGCCGGGCCGAGACTGGCTTGCCCTCTGCGCCCTCGCGGAAGCGAACAACCGACGTTCAACATTGATTGGCAAAGTATGATAAGACGTCATACGCTGCTCAACATTCTAACAATGTGTATACGTTATCGGTTGTAACCTTGCGGCAGCACTAGGGATTAATGTTTGATATCATAACTGGCTTAGACCGCATAATGCTTGAGAACTCTCACATGGGTTGATGGCCTGGAAACAGCTAATTGTCAAACTCTAGCCGACTGCTTGTAAATATCTGATGTTCTAGTAACAAAAATAGTGTATGCTTATAAAGGCATTGAAAAATGTAGGTTGAGCTTTGCCAGTTAAGGTAACCAGGAGTTCTAATTGGCTAGGGGGATGATGGGGGAGGAGGTGGGAGATCGGTTATTTCGTCCGCTTGAGACTCCGTAGGCATCTATCTGACCGAGTCCGATCAAATGCCGATTACTCACAATTCAGTGGCATCACAAAAAAATGAAATAATCTTCAAGCAGGCTCTGTGAATACTTACGCGGCATTCAATGGACCCGCATATCCACGCATGTCTCCGATCAAAGGGAAAATATAATCTTACACTGTTAATGGAAGAGTAGATTTATTAGAAATCGGGAAAAACTAAGCTGTATTGCACATTGTGGAGATATTATAAAAGCTACATAATAATTTTCAGTTTGAGCTATTATCGAGAAAGAAATATTTCAGTCCTTTGACCTCTCTTCAACATTTTATTGATGTGTTCCAGAATTTTTTTCTTTCATAACAAATAGTATCTTTATAGTGCCTAAAAATGGCTAAAACTGTCAGGATTTTACTGTATTTGCTAAGCTTTTACTCTCCAAGCGAATCTGCCTACCTGTTTCTACTTTAAAAATATGGGACTATGAGCTGGTAAGCCGATATAATTTAATATATTCCTGTAAAATAAAAGTATCTATTGGATAACAAGTTAATGTTTACTTCAGGTATGAATATTTTAATGTGAGAACAGTACCAGGATGTAATGTAGGTATAATTTACATTTTATAGTTTATTTGTGTCAGGGTAAACAAGGGCAAAGTTTATTTATTGCACTAGATAATGCAATAATTGTTTTTCTTCCATTTTCTCGCATTATATCCGGCGCCCATATACGTCAATGTGCTGCGGGACACCGGTTGAAAACACCGGGTCTCGGATAGGGGAAGGGGGTGGGAGTGGGGTGGGGTGGAAGTGAAATCGACCAGAGAGTGGCTGAAAAGAGAAGCAGAAAGCAAGGAGTGCAGCCAGCGGCCGGTCGCCTCGATTCCGTTTTCTACTCTAGCGCCCCACTGCCAGGGACGACTTAACGATTCTATGCGCCCACAAGAAAATAATCGTTCTTTCTGATAGCTATGAGATCACCGAACGCCACTGGCGCTCGACAGTTACGCGACACGTTGATGCTCCTGCACATATCGGTTCGTTCCACAAAGCACAATCCAATCACTGCCCAACCTCTTCGTTTCCGTAGTAATTTGCACATTCAACTTTTGACCTGACTCCCTTAAATAAATCCCAGATGTATAACTTTCGTTTATATTCTTATCGTACTTCAAACACTTTCCTGTACGCTTTTAAATTATAACTTTATCCATATCTATCAGAGAATTGTTTTTAACCAATTAACTAATATTGAGTTTTATTAATATGCGTGAATCATATTTGAATGCAAATCCTTTTGGAAAATATACGTTTTTTTGTTCATTATCCGCAAATGCACAAAATGGATATGTGATGCGTGGATTTGCTTGCTTTAAATAAGTAGGTCACAAAGAAATTTTGATAACTAAAAATCATTGTTAACTTCACAACAAATGATTTTTCATTCTTTCTTTATATTCATTCGGTCACTTCAGATTTCTTTTCCTTGAAAATAAGTGGTGATTGGTTGTAAATTGTGGTGAAGTGAAACGCAAAGGAATTTGTTAAATTCATAATTTAATAAAACATAATTTAGTAAAAACAATTCTCATTTCTTGAAGAACCATTCATGATGACGTGTGTCCAAAACAACACAAAAGTAACTTTTTTAAAGTGAACTGAGGACTTAAAAATGTACAATAATAATCAGTCACGTAAACATAACAAATCAGCGTACGCATGCAGTACTACACTCTTACTCGCGGTGTGCACAATCAAACGGAACGAATGTGTGCAAAAGTGCAACAGAATGTAATTAATATGCGAGAGTTTATGTAAGGCAAAGCAAACATCTAGTGAACTCTATCGCTTCTTTCCAACGCTACGTTTTGGGGAAACTTTGAATTCAAGTATTTATGAAAAGATTTACTTATATTGTAACTAGACTGTCTTCCCCAAAAAGACACGTTTGATCAAACGTTCTTAACCCTTATCACAAAAAGAAGCATTAACGAAACAATGAAGCTACGATGATCTCATGCCATTGAATTCTTAGAACAAAAACAAATAGATCAATCTGAGAAAAATGGTAAAACTTAGTATAGTATTCCTACTGTTCTTTTCAAAGAGTTATTTTTCGATAAGAATCATCGCAAGAGAATCTCTTTGAGCGGCGTTTCATGTAAATGCTACGTTTGAGCTCGATGCGGCACGAAAGTCGTTTTCACACTCTTTGATATCATCGCGTTTGCATGTCGACACCAAATCGAATCAGAGTGAGAAAACACATGTTCGTGAACACTTTTTTCATAACGTTTAGAATCAGACTCAAAAGAATTCGTTTTGTTATCATGACATGTGCCAATCCACGGTGTAAATTCATTCTGCTTTTCACCTGATTTGAAACGCTATTTTTTGACATTTGATACTAGATAACGCCAAGGCTCATTATGTTCACTGTATGAATTATAAACCTACTATTCTGTATCTCAGTTGACTTATAAATTAAATAAATGTTACCTTTACTCGAATAATTGATTTATTGGAGGATCCTTGAATCTTTGCTAACTTGAAAATTACTAGTCACATACTTCATGCCCAAAAACAGAACAATGGCACGTCTGAAAAATACCATGAAATATTGAAAATGTTTCTAATACATTTGTCAGAAAAATAAAATGATTAAATTGTTATGAGAGAGTCTTTTGAAACCTTTTTCTTATTTCACTAAAATTTTTGTAAAAATTATCACTTTGTTCGAAATATCCTTGAACAAATTATGAATGTGTGAGGTTTGTGAAAAATGATTACGCTTTTCTGTGTCAACACTCAGACTCCGTCCACAACGTTCTTCCTATTGTTCAAATGTTTAAGAACAAAAACACTATTTTTCTAATACTCGGCAAAACACAAGGACGGATATCTGGTGAGAACGGTGACTACGTAAATAATTTTAAAACCTGGTTAAAAACGTTGCTATCGGAAGTCAAAACTATTACGTCCTCCAATTCCTCCTTTCGTTATATTTCCAGACAATAATTACTTAATTAGTGCCTATGTCGCGACCGATTTTTTAAGAGCACCAAAATTCGACGACTATGTTTCAAGAATTTGTTTTGGCTTAAATAGTCTGTCACGAAAGAACTTAGCACAAAACAGTTCTAGTGAGCAGTTCATGCTCCCGAAGGCAGCAAGAGAGCTACCGTCCATGAAGAAGCAATGCACCCGAAGGGCACTGCATTGATGTTCAGTTTACACAAGGAACTACGATCGAGTCGTGAAACACGTGAGGAAAACGTGCGACTCCGACCACACATCGACAAAGAATTTCCGAATGAGAGTTGCATGGTCTTTGCAGCTGGATCTTCTTGCGTTGCCATCACCATCTCCGCTGCCGCCACCGTTGGCGAAGTCGGGCGGCGTGGGCCGCAGGGCAGGACTGCTCCGCCCGACGCACGGCGCGGCGCGGTGCGGCGAAGGCGGGGAGCGTGGGCGCCTAGGGGGGCGGCCGTCACAGGTCGCCGGCGTGGGAGGCGGCGGCGAGCAGCTGGCTCTCCACCGTCTCCTCGCGCCGTCAGAGCGGACGCGTCGCCTCCGAGTGCGGCGTCAGCACGTCGACGCGCGTGCTGATGGAGTAATCGCTGCAACACAAGAGGGGGCTGCTCACTGGATGCCGTCGCAAGCTCCGAACGGGCTGGACGTGGACACCGACTTCTCGTCAATTTCGGGACTGTCAGCTTCCCGAAGTTGACGCGGTCGGTGTGTGAAATTGAAAGTGATATATCATACATGATCACAATTGCTGTCAGGTCTTGCTGAGTTGTATATCAATTTTGCATTTATTGTAACCTCGGCAATCATGAATGAATGATATACAGGACAATACAAAATATACTTCAAGCTAATATATTAACTTGCATTTTAGAAGCACTTTAAAGAAACCCAAGGGAGAATTACATTATAATATGATGCACGAGTTAAATGTGTATTTCTTTTACAAATAGCTAGCTGGGAGCCGGCCTGCACGGCCGAAGTGGCCATCCAGCGTGTGCCGACCCAGCGCCTCGATCGGAAGGGTCACGCACTCCAGTCCCGTCATGGGCATGATTATTTACCCCTTGACTTTCATGTAGGTGTGCTGTCGCGGAAGGCCCTGTGTTATCGCGTGACTCTGCTGACCACAGGCAGAGGAGCTCGCATGTGTGTCAGTATTCAGTGTTCAATGTAAAGGTTGATACGTGTCCCCATGAGGGACATACTGGGTAGCCGAAATCGTCATCCCCTGAAAGCTGGAAAAAGACCCCGAAAGAAAGAAAAAAATAGCTGGAAGTGTAGATTCCCTCAGCTCGACTTACACAAGCCCAGACGTGAAATAACGCCTGATACTATTTTCATACCGTATTAAAAAAATAATACATAATTTTCCTCTTTTCATAAATTTATTGAAGAGGAAGCTGGATATTTTTTGGATGTTTCGTAAACAAATAAAAACAGTGTTTTAATTACGAAGTAAACTATTGGAGCTAGAAAAGTATATACTTTCTCGCATTATTTCTAACTTCACTGTTATATTATACTACTTCATAAAGCTACTAGGGTTGTCAACCTGCAATTTTGTTTCTGCTCCGAAACCTGAATTCAGATCAGCAGATTTAACTTGACGTCACTTCACTCATAACACTACACTATAGAAGCGTCGTATGTATCGAACTTGGGCTGACGCATAAAATAGTAAATTTGCATGATAACAAATTTCTCTTCTTATGAAGTACTTTCGTAAAGGCGACATACTAAAACTGAATTGCAATGAAGGAAGGATCACTTGCAAACTTTAGACATATGAGCAGAATGTCAGTAAATTGTTGCTTCCAAAATTGAAAAATGAAAAGAAAGTGTAATTGGCGCTTGCGGTATTGATTCAAGTACATACATATCAGTTGTCCTTCAAGTCGAAATGTCGTGATGCTCATTGATATCTCGGCATCAATACTTCGCTTCAGGTTTAATACAATCGAGTTTATTTATAGTAAATTAACAAAATGTAATCATATGTATATATGAATGGAGAGGTATTTTACTGTATTGGCGTTCTATTAAAAGTTGTATAATTTGTGTCATTTAACCTTTAAAAATCTATTATTTTATTAAATGTTTTATGGAAATTAAATTAATATGTATTATGTGTGTTTTGAAGGCTAATATATTTCTCAGTTTCACATCTTAATATATGGCGTTTTCAAATGTAAGGAGGTTATTACAAACAAAATGCTGTACTTATACTACATACGAGAGCAGTCACTTAAGTCAGTTATACAATTCTCCAATTCAAAAGCTGGATTCACATTTTTTTATTTTCCCTTCTTCTGGCGTTATGAACAGTGAAAACAATTCAGGCATTTTCAAAACGATTGAAACAATAATGCAGTCGTTTTCCTGAGGTCACCTCAGAAAGCCATTGTACTGCGCAATAAATGTATGCAGCGCTAAGAACTTTGAACGGTAAATACTTTCAAAGGCGTTTCAAATAATGCCAAACACGTACAACAATAAATCTAAAAACCGCCTTCTTCTGAGTTCATTCTATTTTCATTTTCTTCTGATAAGAAATAAACTTTAGTTTTTAATGACTAATTCTGTCCTCAAACTACAATTACTAAAATTAATGCAGTATTATGGGAGATGGTGAATTTTAAAACAATTTTTGTTGTTTACGTCTCTCACTCTTTCCTTACATTTCTTAAGTTTAGCACAATGTTGAATACGAAGAAACTTTACAAGATTTCGGTTATTCGAATGTTTTACATATATAAATGTAAAATGCAATGCAGAAGACAAAGTAATTTGTAAACAGGCAAACGAAGATATATAAAAAGTGAAAAAGAAAAAAAAGCAATATGATTAGAAATTTGAAATCAGTAACCGGAAATAGAACTATTTCATTAAAATAGTTGATGTCATTAAAGATTAGCCAGACACTAGTGTTGCGAAGGGAATGAAACGAAATTCTTGAATGAAATTAAGATCTCTGGGTATAAGCGGCTCTGGCATCGCAGAAGGAGGAGAAGGAAGATAAAAATAATAATGTACTTCTTTCGAGGAAAATGAAGTCGATAAATAATTATGCAAAGTATTGTATCGAAAAGAAAACACTCTACTTATCTACAGAACTGTGTCATCTAGTGCATCGTACAGGAAGAAATTAAAGGGAAGAAAATAAAATAAAATAAAGACTGAAAAAACAAACAAAAATGGAGCAAAATACAGAAATGTAACTGTAGAGTTCTATTTAACCTATAAATGAAGGTAATATTAATACAAATTCCTACAACGTTATTTACATAGGGACAGCATTCTCTCTAATTTAATCGTTGTAGGCTATGTTTACCACAAGAGAAATATCGTGAGCCTAACCACCTGTTACGCTAGTTTACTGTTCCACTATTCATTAAAAAGTGTGAGATCAGAAGGGCTGGATTTTACAAAATGAGGTAGCGTGACTTCCAACTCAGCATACGTGAAATCCGATAAGCTGAGAGTGATGCAAATATGCTGGTATTACGCGCATGTGACATTTATACATACTATGCAAGACTTCAAAGAACAAAGGAAAGAAAGCAAAAGTGCTAATTTATGTTGTAATGCAGACGGTAGGTTTTCAGCAAGTGATATTATACGCGATATACAGAAAGATTTGAACATGTTTTATTAATGTAAATGCATATTACTTCAAACATGTGCTAACTTGCATTGTAAATTACTGATGGCTAGAAAACATCTAAATGATAAGGCCAAATCTACCTACAGTCTATTGTAACTACTAGTTACAAAGTAAATGTAGTAATTACAAAATGTAAATGTTTGTGCAAATTTGTTTGTGCAAAAATGAGTAGCTTAATGAGGTAAATTTTTATGTTAGTTTCCGGTTCCAGGTTTTTAAATGTGTGAAAATTTCCTGCATTCTCGTATAGTATAAATGTAAGTTTGCATATGTGAGGCAAATGTGCATATTTGTTGTGATCGCTTATGATTCTGGCAGTTAAAAAGGGTCGTAAAATAAATAAATTTAAAAAATCTTCCCGGAATTAAGTTTGTCTCTATTTTTAAATCTACCTTTCTATTCCAGAAAATTATTTTGTTGTAAAAGGCAATTTAACCTCCTCCAGGAGACACTGCCTTAAATAGCACCGTGCGGGCCGAAAAATCCGTGCGAGGGAGCAAGTATGCGTACTTCGATGTTGTTGAGAGCTCTATAGGGGCACCTGTAATAGCGGGTGGGTAAACCGGTCGGCTTCCGGTAGGGTCAGCCGGGATGGTACCCCTGTCTACGGCGGTATTATATCCTCTTACTAGTACCACACTACTGATGTCTATATAAGGCCACCCTTAGTACCTTGTGGAATTTCGGCCACTGTGCTATTAGGTTGTGAGAGATAGGGAGCCATTCATTTTCATTTCTTACCCTTTTCCCACGTATTAAATTCTTCTTCTTCCTCTCCCACACTTTACGTTCTTGATTTTCCTAACGGGAAAGAACACGTAAATAAATAAAAAGGCTCTGATGGCGATAGGGAAGCCGGATTGTCTAGGGGAAAGTAACCGCGAGAACAAGTCTCTGTATTTCTTCTAGATGTAAGGTGTCTGGTCTTACGCCCTGAAAGACCAAACGATAATTTCACAGAAAATATAGAGAAGATTTGTCCAGGGTACGACTTGGCAACCGAAAACTTATGAGTATAGACACTTGGAATGGGCAATGTCTCAACATGAAAGAAATATGTCTTCGAAAAATCAACCAGTGGTGCTACAGAATGACACAGACTTTCCCGTATTAGTTTTGTATTTCCTTTGGTCTCCGCTAGCTATTCGGTCATCAAATCCCAAAATACGTATTTTTGAAATTTTCTTTATTTATCGGTTTACTAATAGTAGAGCAGAAATATTATTTTAGGGATATTAAAAAACAGTAAAAAACTCGTCCTAAATGGCAATTTTCTTTTTAAAAAATAGCCGATTTTAAGAAAATGGCGTTTAAGCGCTACTGAAAATTCGAAATATGAATCTCTTTTTCATAGAAAATTTTTGCGTTTTCGAAAAATTTCATTATTAAAGAATTAAAGCAATATTAACTCACAAATACAATAGTGTTTACAAATTGCTAGAAATGTGCATATTAATGGCATGAGAGAGCTTTTAAAATATACGTGTGTAATTTTTGGTGAAACAAAAAAAAAATACCCCAAAATATACTTTAATGGGTCTGAAGTATGGGAAATAACAAACTAGTGGTGCCACATCATATTCTATCTCACATTAGTTCTAACAACTCTGCTGTGATATCCTACACTTAAACCCATCATTAAACTATTGGCGTCACGATATGGTACAGACTTTTCGTTCTTATTACTTTTCTAATTTGATTTTGGTTTCTTTTTCATTGGTCTGGGATACCTTTTTGGACTTGCCCCATCCTCTTGCCACCTGTCATCTCTAGCCGCCCAAACTACATGTATTAAACATTTTTCTGAATTTTTTGGTTTTGTTACAATTTCCTTAAGATTTTCCCTTTATGTTAAAAAATTTTGCGTACTTCAGCAATTTGGGGTGTTTATGGCTGAATTTCGATTTTCGCTTTTCAGGACACTTCTTCCTCTCGGCCCGTCTCAGTCGCATCCCTTATTTGCTCAAAAACCGAAAGGACTCGTTCCTCGTTCTCATCGATCCGAACTCGTGGGTAAA